AGCCAGGGCGTCACTGTCCCCTCAATTTTGCATGGAAAGAGTGGAAGTCCATGAAGAGTCAAAGATTTACACACAGACACTGCAGGACAGTCATGAACTCTGCATTAGAGCTACTTAACAGATACTGTTTTCTTCCCTGATCCATCACTGCCTCACTAAGATTACATGTATGTCACATGTGGGCAGAAGGCTCTCATAACCCTAGTTTGTAGCAGCCACCACTGCGTCCTGGGAGTGGGTAGCCAGGAGCTGAGGTGGGGTGCTGCCCCCGGCGAGGGCAGCAGGGAGCCCAGGGGAAGCAGTGCTAAATGTTCTCACTGCCCTTGATCTTCCCTGTTACTACCCTGGGCTGTGGTAGGACTCTGTGGGCAGATCATGTGGTCTCCAGGGCTCTCCCAGTGGGTCCAGCTGAGAAGCCAGGATCCCAGAACACAGACCCTCAGTGGTCCCATAAACTGTTGGCCGCATAGAGGGGGGCAGGTAAGCCCAGTGATGGGACAGGCAGAGCCCGCACAGAAGCAGCAGAACATGTCAGTGGCTCCTCTGGGCTGAAGTGAACCTTCAAGTAATAGGCATTGAATGGAAAACACCACCCTTGTATCAGGACACCCAGCACACGTAGGTCACTTTCAATGCACAGCGTTCTCAAAAACAAACTAAAAGTCTTTGAGGCACAAGAACGTAATGAGAAAATTATATCTTTTAATATTTCCACAATATTTGAAGGGGGTTTGTAGATGAAAATAAGTAGTCAAAATATTTTTATCTAAATCACTGCTTAAGCAGCTATAAACATTGAGAAGAAAAATAGCCCAGGACAGGAACATAATAGAGACTGCACACCCTCATGAATCTGTCTGACCCCTAACAAGCTTATCTTGGGAGGCATGGAGCATTTCCTATGTTAGAAGTGGAATTACAAAACGCTAAAATGCCCACTTGATCACAGTACAGAACATTTTTATGGCTTCACTTGAATGCTCACTTAAGAATTTTCTCTGAGGGCAACTGGGTGGCTCAGTGGGTTAAGCCTCTGCCTTTGGCTCAGGCCATGATCTCAGGGTCCTGGTATCGAGCCCCTCATCGGGCTCTCTGCTCAGCAGGGAGCCTGCTTCCCAGTCTCTCTCTCTTTGCCTGCAGACTTGTGATCTCTGCCTGTCAAATAAATAAAATCTTAAAAAAAAATTAAAAGAATTTTCTCTGAAGTGTACTCAGAGCAGAGACAGTTAAACAATAAAAGTGAGGTATTGTAAGACCATAATACTAACTTAGGAATGGGGTAGAACTAACTTAGTTGGGGTAGAAACCACTTCCCCTGGCTCAGCCTTTTCTCGTATTTTGTTTGTTTATTTTTCGGGTGGTATGTTTTGAATGAAGGAAGGATGGTCTTTCCATGCTTACAGGAAGGAGTGCCAGAATTTTCTGCCTTCCTTTCCATGCAAAGCAGGCCTGTGAGGGGCTAAGCTGTACCTTTCTCCTCCAGATGTCCCTGGCTTCTTCTGATGGGGAATCTTGGCTCTCTCTGCTGTCCTTTAAACTCCTGGGCATTGGTGAAATCTTGTCATGGGGTCTTTCTTTTAGTCAGTTTGTAGGGCTTCTGAGCCCATCCGTCCAAACCCTCTGCATGCTGACGGAGTAGTTGAAGGCATGAGACAGATGAAGTATTGACTAAAGACAGTTACTCAGCACCCTAGTCTCGATGTTTCTTTCTTGGTGTTTCCCCTGAGAATTCCTACTGAGTGTTTCCATCACTCAGCAGTCCTATTTGGTAGGAAAACCGAGGAGTATGTATAGATAAAACCTCCCATGCTCAGTCTTAGGAGCAGGCCTCTCGGGGGATGACCCCTTGGCCAAGAAACTTTCCCAACCTCAACCTCTGTTTTTCCTTGTTTCCATAAAAAACAGCCTGATTAACCTTAACACACAGGGTCATGGCATGGATTTGTTGAGATCCTGCTTATGAAAAAAATCACGTCTAGTGTCCTGGAAACAGATCTCAGCACAGATGAGCCCCTTTTCTTCAGATGTCTGTTTGGTTCAAACCAGCAGAGGCTGATGTGGGGGTCCTCTTCCAGGCTCCATGCCAACCCTGGCTGTTTGACAAATACGTTTGGATGAATAAAGGAGAGAAAGTGACTTAAAAGAATGCCACAAAAGGGTAGTTCCATTTCAGAAAGGGACTTCTCTAGATTGAAAATCTTTTACGACTTATGGTAAATCAAAAGTTCAAGGCCTCTCCAGCCCCTCGGACTCTGTGGGAAAGAATAGGAGGGATGTCTTGAAAGACTGTGACCATTTCTAGGATTTTTCAAATTCCACATCATAGTTTGCCCCGTGATTGCAAAGTTGTCCTCACTTACTTGTATTGTCCTTCTCTATAGTTGATCTGCTGCAGGTCTCTGCTGGTCTGCTTAAGCCTCAGGTGTGTGGCTTCAATCACTAATTTGCTATCTTGATTTCTTAGCATTTACATGAATGAGATAAATCTTTTCTTCTATTCATTTGTAGAAAATATTATATATTACATTGGTATTTCTGAAATGTTTGTAGGAAAGGTTTGTGATAAAATGTGGGAGGATTCAATCTCCTAGATGAGGGAGAACTTTCTTCTAAAGCACTGTCTAATGTCTGTGAAATAATCCAGAAGAGAAGTGGCAACAAGCAACCTTGCTTTACAAAGCAGACAACAGCAACAAACTTTCCTGGTCTTCATCACTTACATGGATTGATTCCTGCGAAGGTGGGAGCTGTAAGGGGAGCAGTTAGGGGAGTTGTTAGAGAAGGGGTTAGAGGACGAGTTAGGGGAGCAGTTATTGGGCGTGGGTAAAGGAGGCTTTAAGGGTGAGGTTAGGGGTGGGGATTAGGGTTGTGAGCAAGGTGCTCTAGGCCAATGTCCTGACTCAGGGTTTCATGCGGAGGAAACCTTCCACAAGCACAGAACATCACCATCATTATCATTTTGCGAATACTTCGGTAACGTATTTTCTCCTCTCTTGCGTACTTCGAAAGTTAGTTCAAAAATGTCAGGGGCACTCGGCTGGCTCAGTCGATTAAGGCACCTCCTCTCGGTTTCAACTCAGGTCATGATCTCAGGTCCTGAGATCTGGCAGCCTGGGCTCACCGCTCAGTGGGGAGTCGGTTTGTCCTTCTCCCTTCCTCCCCCCCAAAAGATAGAGTCTAAGAAACAAAATTTTTAGTTAACATAAATTTCACTAAATTTTAGAAACCGATGGTCTTCAGTTACATAAGTGGTCAAACACCATCAGAAATGGATTGTGAGGATGTGTAGCAAAGCTCCTCCGTCAGAGGGGGAAGCGTGGTCCGTAGTGGTGTGCACACAAGCTTCTGGAGGAGATCCTCCTCGTAGGAATCAGCAGTGCAGGATGCCTGCCCTCAGGGCATCCTCCCCACTCCCCGTTCGCTCCGGGGCATTCATGGCCCCTGCCATGGTGTTTGTCACAGCCCAACAGCAACAGCTGCCAGGCGTCTCTCAGTACGGGATGGGCTTGGTCTCTGGATGTTTCTGAGAAAGCCTTGCTGTCTACAAAGTGGATGATAGTAAGTAATGGTAACGTGATAAGCAGAAACTTAGCCCCTGCCCCTGTGATCTCTTGTGGAGATCTCTGCCTAGGGTGGTGCTGAGGGGTCTCTGTGGAGTCTCTGTGTGGGTCTCTGTCAGAGGTCTCTGTGTGCATCTCTGCAGAGGTCTCTGTGCACCATCTCTGTGTGGGACTCTGTCAGATGTCTCTGCACATGGTCTCTGTCAAAGGTCGCTGTGTGGGTCTCCCAACAGAGCAATGTATGGGGGGCCCTAAAGGATGATGTTGGGCTGGGAGCGGGACACGCAGCAGGGCAGCAATCCTAGACTCCACCCTCCTTCTGGACATGTCCCTTCCAGCCGGGGGTGGGACAAGCCCCATTCGAGGGTCTCCTGCCCCTCCGGACTCTGGGGTAACCAAAAGCAGGAACCAGGCCAGTCCCTTGGCCTGAGTCCCCACCAGTCCCCTGGGAACCGTCCTTGGGCCACATGTGTACGTAAAGAGCAGAAATCACAAGTCCGTCCCGGGCCCTCAGTCCTACAAGTTTATCAAATTGTGTAGAAGTTTATTTATCTGCCTGAAGGCCTTGCTGCCTCTGGGCACCTGGCCATCCGTGTGGGAGCTCAGGAGGCTTCCGTACAACCCCTACCCCACTTACCCCCAACCCCCTACCCCTGGGCTTGGCACCTGGAGTGGGGCCAAGACCCTGTGGGGACAGCCCTAGGGCCTCTAACTTCTCCCCTCTGGGTCCTTGGGTGGCAGTGGGACACCAAGGGTCCTCAGTCATCACACCAGGCATGAGCAAACCCTGTCACTTGGACTCCCTGGACTCCCACAGTAAGTGCAAGGGTCCCTCCACCCAGAGCCACCCACCCTCCATCCCCTAGAAGGGAAAGGGGGTGCTGGTGAGCAGGCCCCATTAGTGCCCTGGGGCTGGGCAGGCTGGTCCCTGGGGGTCTCTGTGGCACCCCACACACACCCTCAGAGCTGGGTGCAAGCTTGTCCCTTGCTGCTCCGAGTGTGAGAAGACGGACTGCATGGAGCTAAGATGGGATTCCCTGGGGAGAGAAGACTCCTGGTGTAGCGGTCCTCTACTCCCCACAGGAGACTGGGGGGGGGCAGTCTTGTGCCTCCCAACTGCGGGCCCCACTCTGACCTAGGTCTCCGTCTTCCTGGAGACTGAGCGGGATTTCTGCCTCGGCAGACCCTCTCTACAGCCACACAAGTTCCAGGTGGAGGGAAAGCAGGAGAGGATGGGCAGAGGAAGGTCCTAATCTGGGTCTTGTTCACCTTGTCGTGGAAAGCAAAAGAGAGCGAGGAAGGGGGCGGAGGTGGACCCCTAGGTCACCCATCCTCCAAGGCCCCATTTGTTCTGGAAGCCTAAGCAGGCCCTCGGGGAGAGCAGACCCTGATCCTTCCCTCCCACTGCAGCAGGGCACACACAGAGACCAGCAACACTCATGAGAAAAAAAACAAAACAAAACATATATTTTGAGGAAGCAAAATAATTGTGGCACGCAGAAGCCATTAGCGCATAGAGAAGGTGCTAATGTGAGGAAAAAAAAAAAAAGTTTTTCTCTGCATCGTTTGCATTTTTCCTTGGAGAAAAGTTGTCCTCCCAGGAAAGGTGTGAGAAGCACACAGTGGCTGGCCGAATGAGATGTATCTTTGAAGGAGGCAGTGCCTGGGGCAGTGGGGCTGCTGGGTGCAGCCTGAAGGGCCCAGCACCAGGGACCTGTACTGGCAGGGTCTGCCTGGGTACCCCGACACATTGGTGGTGAAGGGCCACCCGATCCACTCGGTCTTGTTGGCATAGCTGCGGCTCCTGGGGGTGCCCTGTGGACTGGCTGTCTCCCTCATCACTCTCCTCTTCTCTTGGTAGGAGAGGACCCTGTGGTAGCAGACATTGGGGTCTGCCAAAGCCTGGAGATTGTTTTTGCACCAGCTGAACAGCGGGGCCCTGAGCCCCTGGTGAGGCACCATTTTCTCCTCTAGGATCCGCCCCACAGCGGTCACAACCACCTGAGCCTCGGTAGAAGCGCTGTCCATGGTCGACCTGCACAGGACTTGTCCCTGGCCCTGGGATGATGAAGGCTTGCCCTTTTGAAGGGAATCTTCCAGTCTTTTGCCTCTACTGGGAAAGAACCACTGTAGCAAGTGTTTATCCTTCTCCTGAAGTAGTTTTCTGGAGGAGCCTCCTCCTTCTTCAGCAAGATCTCACAGACCTTGATTCCTGAGGCCTCTACTGACTCCTTGCTCTGGATGGGATGTCTCACCTCACTGATCTGGAGGACCTTCAGTTCTGACAACTCTTTGGCAGGCTCTCTCAAGGGGGACCTCCTGAAGCTCTCTCTCCTCTCGCCTGGGTGTGTGCGTGGGGGGGGGGGGGAGTACACATGACCTGCTCAGGCTCTTACATAGATGCCACAGTCCCAGGGGTCCTGGCTGCCTGTGGGGCTCTGGCTATAGGATCTTTGGTCATGCAGCACCTGAGAAATAAGTGCATCTTCATTGGACCCACTCTGGAAGCCAGAGATTCCTGAGAAGCCAAGACGTTGGCAGCGAGAAACACGCTGGACTGACAGTCTTGAAGGAGATTCTCAGTGGCACAGTCCTGAAGGAGGACCCTAGTTTCACAGTCTTGAAGGAGCACGTTGGGGGTGGCATCATGAGGCCAATTCTCTGACCCCATCAACTTCCGGGGCTCCGATCCCCTGTGCCGTGCCTCAAGGCGTAGCTCTTCTGGGTCTCGGGTGACCAACTTTGTAGGTTGCAGGGGGCTGTCGCTTTTCCATGAAGACCCTGATCTTCTCAGTTCACCATGGAGGCCTTGGTTGTTGGCCAGCACACGGGGTTCTGTGACTCCCCAGGCAGGGGCCTCCTCGACCTCCCCAGCCTCCCCGGGCTCTTTGGCACTCAAATCATGGGATGCTAAGTTGAGCTCTAGCACTGTCACGTCCCATTAGACCCGACCCCTATTAGCCCTCCCTGGCTCCTTCGTAGCTGTTGTGGACTTGGACTTGATGCCAAGGTGCTGTTCATAAGAGTCCTTGAGACAGTCTCACTGTGCCAGATTCTGCCCACAAAGCTGTATGTGAAGGTCCAAGAAGGTGGCCTGGCCCCCTGTCCAGTCAGGAGGGCTACCACCAGGTCAGGTCCCTTCCAGAGCCTGATGGATTTCCTCACACTTAGGCTGGGGAGCACCAAGGAAACCCCTACCAGGTGGGATAAGACTCTTCATCACCTCTTCTTGATAGGGCTGAGAAGGATTTCCCACGAACTTAGGCCCCATGCCGGCCTTGGATACACAGGTGGATGAGCAGGGAGGGAAGGACCGGGAGAGGAGGAAGCCCTTCTTCAACTTGAAGAGGTTTATAGGCTTGAGAACCTTGAGGGGGAGGCCCCACCGGTGCTTCACCCCAAGCCTTATGATATGTGCTTCTAGCATTCACTGAGTATATGGACAGAGGATGGAAAAATTGTGGGAGGTGGTCATGCAGGGTTCCCAACCCTTGGAAAGTGCTGGCTTTCCCGTGATGGCTTGGCTTTCCAGGAAGGTCCAAGGAGCGGTGGGCAGCGAACTGGGAAGGATGAACATCCAAAGGGATCCAACCCTCTCTGAACTGCCCCAGCTTCCTGAAATGGGCTCTCCGATCCTTCTCTGGGCGATTCTTGTCTGCACTGCTTGTGGAGGGCTTCAGGTCTGTGTCTGACTCCTCAGGATTTATTCCTGGAGCCTTCCCTGGAGAGATCGTTGCACCCCTGTGTAGATCTTTCCCGATCCTCCCTGCACGGGACCTTGAATCCTTGCCCAGGCTTTTTCCTGGCACGGTCCTTCCTGGCTACTTGGACCCAGTCTTCTGTGCGGCCTGGGAGCTTCCATCCGTAGACTCAGACTCGGACGTGGGACTGTGCCAGCCATGTGCCTGAGGCACCTTCTGGAACTTGTGGTGAGGCTGTCTTCAGGGATAGCTGGATCCTGCGGGCCGGGCCCCTTTCTTGCTTCATGATCCTGCTCCAAAGGTGCCACTCCAGTTGCTCCCAGAGTGCAGAGTCCATCAAGTCCCCAGGAAGGACAGAGACGGACCCTTAGCCTTCAGGGGCATGGCCACCCTGGGGAAGGTCTGGAGGACCTGGGCTGAAGACTTCCTGAGATTTTTTCACCACAGTGGGTAGCTTGCTGCTTTCTAGTTGCTTCTTCAGAAAGTGACATTCCAGGTGTTGAATGGCAGTTGACATGTAAGACTGTGTCTTCTGGGCTACAGGGCAAGACACCTCATAGGTACCCATCTCCAGTGGCAGAGAAGGTGGTCCCACTGGGACAGAGGGTGCAAGCCGGGCCTGGGATGGGACTGAGCTAGAGACCAGAGCTGGGCCTGGTCCAGAGGGAGTGGCTGGGGCTGATGGCAGGGGGGAAGGGGCTAGGACCTAGCCAGACACAGGGACTGGGACAGGGACAAGCTCAGAGTCAAGAGTTGGGGCGGGGCCAAAGTGTCATGTACGTCCTGTGTCAGTGAGAGGTGGGGAACCACAATGGTCTGAATCTGGAGCAGCAAGGTATGAGAGAGCTCATTGAATATGATGGATGGGAACTCCAGTTGGGTATTGGTCACCCTGACAGTGGCCACCAGGGACTCACTGTGCAGAAAGGGGAGACCCCAGAAGAGCTGGTTGCATTTCTGCTCCAAATTGTCCCCTGGAATCTTGGGATGTGGGGGCTTCTCAGGACCAAGCAGCTGTTTTGCTTTGCCTCTCATGCTCCAGAAGGACGGGCAGCCCATGGTGTCCTGCCCATCACCTGGGGACGTGAACATTCTCCCGAAAGAGGTCAGCTGATAGTTTGACCTTTCCTTCTTTTCCTTCTCCTTCCAAAACTTCAGTCTGTTCTCTTGGCGATGAGTATCTCGAGAGGCTTCTGGACGTCTGGGTTGATGAGGGGGCAATCTAGTCTCTCCCTGTCTGTGTGTGGGGTGTCCCCAGAACAAGGCTTCTGGTGGGCCAGGGACAGAGGCCCTTGATGGGACTCCAAGCGTGTTGAGGTGCACAGGCTCCAGGCTTTGGCAGCCGCCTGCCACCAGGACAGGACCAAAATGGGGCAGTGTGAGCAGCCCAGGCCCGAATTGGCTGGGACAGGAGAAGTTGTCCTGTCACCTGACCAAGACGTGTGCGGAGCCAAGCTCTGTGGGATACAGCACGGAGGGGCTGCCCTTGAGTCACACTGAGGGAGAGTCAAAGGAAAGTCTGGCCGCTCTGGGGCCAAGGAGGCTGTCAAGAGGCCAAGGGGAGGCCTCTGAAGGATGGAGACATGGCGGGCAAGGGGGAAGAGCCAAGTGGCTGGTGTGAAAAGCCATCCGGGAGGAGGAAAGTCTCTGCTAGCAAGAAGTACTCAGGGAAGAGTGTGAACCAACAGAAATTGAGGAGGTCATTGGTCCTGCTGGCAGGGTGGAGGCAGGAGGCCAAGAGGGTCCCGTTGGTGGAGCACGGGCAGGTGATGGGGCCGTAGCAGGAGCAGTATCTTCCACAGGCTCCCTGCATGGCTGATGAGCTCCAACTGGCAGTCCTCAGCACACCTGTCCAGGTGCTGCTTGCCGTAAGAACTGGTGAAAGCCCCCCTGGTCAGAGAGCCTCGCCAGGTGGCTGCAGGAGACAGGAGGCGTGAGCTGCTGCTGTAGCAGCCGGGCCCAGGAGCGGTCCCCACAGTCCTAAACCCCCCACACCCATGTCACAATGCTCCTGCTGTTGCTCAGCCTGGGGCTCTGGTCACAGTCTGTCGCCACAGCTCCTCCCAGCCCCCATGAACAGCCCCAGAGGCCATTCCCTGCAACCCGGGGGTCATACCATAGACTCGGGGAGGTCCACCCAGGGGAGAAGGGGACAAATTCTTTACCTTTGCAGAAGGGAGAACAGGTCCTGAACCTCTTCCAAATCTTGCAGGAACTAACTCTCTGAAAACTGGAAACAGGAGACCGGGTCACAGCGGAAGGCAGGGCCCAAGGGTCTTACAAGAGGCTGGGTGGAATGTCCCTTTAGGGGAGACCTTTAGGGGATTGGACTCGGGAGCTCCAAACAGCACTCTCCAAGGCCATGTGCCCGCACGGTGATTACAGGATTCATGATGGGGATCTCTTTGTCTTTTCCAAAGTGCTTCCTTGTTCATGACCTTGCTGGGCAAGGAAGGACTACATGGCCTCACAGAGGAATGTGAGCAGAGTTGAACAGTTTGTCCACAATGGGAGTGGGAGGTCCTGCCCCAAGTCCAGGACCTGGGGGCCCCTGTGGGCTTTGCTCTGGCCCAGAATCTGGGAAGCCTCCAGGTTCCCCTCTTCCTCCTGGGAGCCCCCTACCTCCCACCCAGTGCTCTGTTTGCTGAGGGAGGGGCTCAGGTCCTGGTGTCCTGGAGACAGTGGGGCTGAGCCCTAGGAGCGGGATTTAGTATAACTGGGGCACGCCAGGGTGAGTGGCGAATGCTCACCTTCCAGAGTCTGGTTTTTCTTCCTTTTCTTGCTTCTTCTCCGTGGCTCCCCTAGGTACTGAGATAAGAGAACGCGGGGAGGCTGGAACACCCGCCCCAATAGCAGGAGACCCAGTGTTCAGGGGCCTGACCTCCGCTAGAGGGGCAGCTCTTAACCTCCAGTCCTCAGCCACCGGTCACTGTGTTTGGGACGCTGTCCTGGACCCCTCCACCACACCTGGACTCCGGCCCAAGATCTTCAGGGAGAAATCCTCATGTCCCTCTAACCCCTGCCCGGTCTGGCTTGTTCTGGATAGATGGTGGTCTACTCTCTCCTGAGAATACACGTTCTATTCTTTCCCATCTCAGGAGTCTCTCCATTGACTCAGAAAAGTGGAAAGAATAATAGAAAAGAAGGTAGAATCACACTCTGCTGTGTCTGGGCCAAGGGTTCCTTACCTTCCTGCTCTTCCTGTATTTCTTGCGTGGTGGTGAGGACGCATCAGGCTGCAAATAGGAAAGTAAAAGAAGTCCACATATGAAGGCAAGGATGGCAATAACTGCCCAGGAAGTGGGTCTGGAGCTCAGCCAAACATCCATAAAGAATTTCTGAGGGAAGAGATAATTCCCCATCTCTTTCCTCCGTAAAGCATTAGTGTCTGATCGCTCTGCTGCCCTCAGGTAACTGAGCCCTGAGAGTTAGTTAACGATTGCACAGCTGCCCTCAGGCAACTGAGCCCTGGGTGTGGAGGTGCAGACACAAGCCCCACACCCACATCACAGAGTTGTGGTCTAGTCACAAAGGGCCCTTGAGGGCAGTTAAGGGACATAAGTAGCTGGATCACATCCCCTCTCCACCACCAGCCCTGTAGCTCCGTCATCCCTCCACCCTCCCAGGCCCGACACTCCTACCTGTTCACTGTGTTATAGACAGAGCTTTGTCAATTGGCCTTTAATCCTGCGTGGAGCTCAGAGAATACCTGTTCCTCTTGAGATCTCCAGTTGTGCCCCATCAGCTTCATAGCTTTTAAAAATCTGGAGTTGTCCTTGGAATTTTGGTTAATTCCCAGGAACTTTTGTCTTCTGTCTGCAGCTCCACTCTCCCCACATAGTATGTTCTTGCCTTGCATTACCCTAGTACAAAAGAAACTCAAATTTCTTTTGTGCTTCTTTAGCCATGTGCATTTTGAGGACATCTTAAGATGTTTTATTTCAATTAATCTTCACTAACTTTAGCTAGAGCGACTTAGAAAATTAATTATTCAAAATTTACAAAGCTAAGGAAGTACAGAACAAAGTGAAATAGTTAATCCTCCCAGGTATGTTTCTCGGTCCTTTGTAGTGTTTTTCCTTCTGAGATGAGCAGAGAGTAAACTGCAGAAACACTTTCACGACATTCTGTATAGGCACACATGCACATGCTCATGCAAATTCCTTAACAAATCCAGCATTTTCAAATCTTGGAATCAAGTTTTCATTTTATTTTGTTTTCGCTTTTTTTTTTTTTGGTTCAAATATTTCCTTTAGTAATTCTTGTAAGTTTGTGTATCTGGGAATATCTTTGCCTTCATTTTTGAAAGACAGATTTGCTAGGTATGGAATTCTGGGTTGACCATTTTTTTTTTTAAAGATTTATTTATTTGAGAGAGAGAGAGAGAGAGAGAGAGAGAGTGTGTGTGTGTGTGTGCACGAGCAGGGGGAGGAGCAGAGTGATAGGGAAGGAGACCCCCCCACTGAGCAGGGTGCCTGACATAGGGCTTGATCCCAGGACCCTGAGATCATGACCTGAGCTGAAATGAAGAGTCAGATGCCGAACAGAATGAGCCACCCAGGCACCTGGACAAGTTTTTCTCTTTCAGCTTTTTTACTAGTGTCATTTCAGGGCCTATCCCCCACTGGTTCTGATTGGAAGTCAGTGGTTAATCTAATGTGGTTCTCTGTATATGAAGGAACATTTTTTTGTTGCAATTTCAAAATTTCTCCCTTGTTTTTCCATGGTGTGATTGTGATGTATCTAAGAGCAGATCTGCTTGTTTTTATTTTACTGCAGGTAAATACTGACTCTATAATTAAGGGTTTCCATAAAATTTGATAAGATTTCAGCCATTATTTCTACAAATATTCTGTCTTCCTCCCCATTTCTCCTTTCTTTCTGAAAGCACTCCTTTAAATAGGTAAGAACTTCCAAATGAGTCCACATTTCTCCCAGCCTTGCAGCGAACTGCTACCTGAGAGCCCAAGTTTCTCAACATTCACGTTGGTGTCTAGAAACTAGCTTCAGTTCTGCGAATGTCTTGGGTATGGAGTGTTTTGCTGACATCATGGAAAGCTGCCTTCTGTGATGATGTCATGCCTGTGCCCATGGGCTCTGACTGTAGTGGGGCTGTGAGTTAGAGCCATCGCTTTGGAAAATGCTTCACCATGATCTGGTCCAGACTGAAGAGAGCAGGACTTTTGAGAGTGACTCTGATGCTAGAGCTAGAGAAAATCTGCCATTTTGTAGTAATAAAAAACGGGAACCAACCCAGTCCCATCGAGTGGAAGGTATGTGCTCTGCAGCATCATGCTCAAGTTACAGTGAACTACAGCAAAACACTGTAAGTGTAAATTACGTAGACATGCTACCGAGGAAGAAATAAAAGCGACTTGCAGAAAAATTGTGCAGGATGGTTGTGTTTACTCTAGTTTCAAAACTATACAAAATCAAATACGATTTAGTGATGCATTTACTTTGGTAAAAATATAAAGAAAACACAAGAGAATAGTGAACAGGACTGATGGACAGGGGGAGGGATGTACACATGACTCCAAAGATGTGGATGATACCGCATTTCTTAGAAAGGTT